TTGGGTAGGCTCGGATTCGAAGTAGAAGAATGAGAGAGATAAAATGAGGAGAGAGATGAAGACGGAGATGGAGATGACAATTTTGTTAGGGATTTTAGGTTCTTCTTCCTCCTCCGTCGTGTGAGACGACGGCGATTGACGAGATTTGAAGACGAACCTAGGCCTGTCTTCGTCGTAAAACTCCATTGCCCTCCGTTGTTTCGTACTGTTGTGTAGAAGAAGGGTCCTGAAACAAATTATAACACGGGAACAAGAAAGTAATAAAAGAAAAATCTTTAGTATTGGGCCTTAAAGTTTCAGTTGGGCTTTACGTAGCGGTAATGTGTGGAACATTAACACCATAGTCAAGAGAAAATCCAAGGTTTCAAAAATGTATAGAGATGATCATTTTTAGAAGGTTTGTAGACTGTAGGTCTGTCCATTTTAAGCATCAGGAAGGACCGAGAGAGGTAATTCGGAAACTGAAAAACATTATCTATAGTGTTCATGTTAAAGAAACGGGACGGAAAATATAGGAACCTGGATGGTCCAAAAAAAATCAGGTAACAAAAATCACTTTTAAACAGAACTAATTTATGCAAGGATCATTTTTGGGATAGGAAAATTTTGGGAATTTTTTAGATAAATGTACATTATTATTTTATAAAATTTAATTCTCAAAACGGATAATTCGGGTAATTAAATATTAGAATGTTCTTAGAGTGAATACTAATCCCATCAAGACAACGAGGTTCCAAAAGTTTATTATGCTTTTGATTCTTGAACTTTCCTGCACTTATACGAACAACAATGAGAATAAAGAAGACACATAATGGATAACAAAAACAATTAAAAGTACTATATCAAATCTCTTTTATTCCAAAACTACTAAAATCCAATATGGTTGTGACAATTGTGATCATATCTTACAACAGTTTGAGATCGATTTTTATTTGGCGAAAAAATTCACACTGATCAATAAAACTCTCTGTAATATCAATTCCTCTAGTAATAAAGATTGTTGTTGTTTGAAAGCCTTTTTCTCAAAGAAGTAAATAAAGATTGTTGTTCTGTTGATCTACTCGAGGAGTAAACTCTGCACACAAACAATTCCTCGGCATTGTTCTTCCTTCAAGTTCCTTTAGATACATCTGGTCATCTAAGTAGACCGTGATCTCGGTTATGATCATTCCTAGATCGGACGAGTCCTTTTTCGCCTTCAAAAATTCGCCAAAAAACGCTCTCTCACAACATTCAAAACTTTCAAGAACCGAGATTTGCAACTTTGATGAAGACTAAATCCTGCTGTCTGAAGGAATGCGTTTAAGGCTGTTGCGCTAGCTCTATCGTTGGCTGAGACAATATTGTTAACGAACCGGTTAAACCAAGCCCATCCATGACCATGTTCAATCCCATGAATGTTAGTACTTCGAACATCGGTCTGGACAAGTGCACCCTAGAGTCTCATCATGGAATCTATGCGTTTATTATACGCGTCTGAATCGTCCCAAGCTGGTTCTAAGTTTACATCATGTTTTGGGACAGTGTAACTGTGTAATTCAGCAAGAAGAATGTCCATAGCTTGTGGAAACTGTGAGGTGACGTTAACAA